TACTGCTGCTATGCTCTTGAACCACCCATTTGTGACTAAACTGGATAATGGGGTTGGAGACGTTAAACCAATTAAGCAAGTGTCTTCTGCAGTGGCTTCCTCTGTTCCGGATTGTCCTAGCTTCATACCCCTTGGAAGTTGGAAGTCTGAAGATGCAGAGGAAATGGCTGAAGAAAATGTTGATTTTTCTGAGCAGGAGATTCTTCCTCTGAAGCTCATGTCAAGGCATGTGGTTCCAAGCCCGAAACCATCAACTTTTGCTATAATGGGTGCAGCTTAGCTTAGCTTTATTGTTTACATATGAAACTCAATTGTATTTTATGAAAGCCTTTTTCATGAACTGGTGTAAATTGTAATACATTATTCTATTGATTTTTTGTATCTAATATAGAGCAAATAATACAAACATGCCACTTTGATCTCTCTCTCTCTCTCTCTCTCTCTGAAAGTTGAAGTTAGGCTACATTTCTGCAGGTAATTCTCTCACTTCCATGTCCTCTTTCACTGTTTTGTACTGTTAGGCTTTAATCTCTGTATCTTCTTCGCAATTGTTGTTTTAGTTCTCCATTTTGATAATTTGGTACACTGGAATTCTCATTTTTTGTTGGGTCTTATATCTGTTCATATGAAAGAAATATAGCATACCTTTGTTTTTTTAGACTAGGGCATGAATGAAATATATCTGTTCCTTCCACAGATCCAGAGAACAGCTGTTTGAACGGATGTGAAAAAAGAGTGACTTCCAACATTTTAACTGTTTGAAGTTTTCTATTATTGCTTAAGTTGCTGTCATAAGACTATGGCATGGCATTCGTCCAAACAATGAGAAAATTGAAACGGGAAACAAAAAACATCTAAACAATTGTGTCCACTCAGACAAAATAAAAAATAAAAAATTGTGTCTACATAAAATATACCTTTGTTTTTTTAGACTAGGGCATGAATGAAATATATCTGTTCCTTCCACAGAGCCAGAGAACAGCTGTTTGAACCGATGTGAAAAAAGAGTGACTTCCAACATTTTAAATGTTTGAAGTTTTCTATTATTGCTTAAGTTGCTGTCATAAGACTATGGCATGGCATTCGTCCAAACAATGAGAAAATTGAAACGGGAAACAAAAAACATCTAAACAATTGTGTCCACTCAGACAAAATAAAAAATAAAAAATTGTGTCTACATAAAATATAACTTTGAGTTCATTCATTTGTTGTGGTGGAAATTCCTGTAATGGAATGGATTGTAGTTATGGATAAAGGCCAGAACTATGTATAACTTTTTTTCTCAAATCCCCTGCTCTTAACAATTAGGTTGCGCTCAATTGCAGGGTGAGGTTTCATGCATCACATCATCTACAATTTAGGCTCATCGCCTTGATTATGTTGCAAATGGAGCTGCTGCAACCACATGATTTAAACATTTTTGTGCTATGTTTATGTAGAAGTAGTTTGCAGGCATAATTTATTGTTCCATGATCTGTTTCTTATTTGTATACTAGTTCTTTTATTCTAGACTCACTGCTACAGGGGACTAATTCTAGGGCATTGTTCAAAAGGGTGTAGAGATACTGAGAAATTGGGAAAAAGTGAATTGGTTGAATGGTAATGTGAATGGTCCTCTGCATAATTTGTTTGCACTGTTATCAGTAGGATGCAGGAATCTCTCTACTAGACACACACTTGCACACAGACATATGTTGATGCTTCCGATAGTGTATTAAGACTCCATATTCATTAGTTTATGATGAGAACCAGAGTTGTTGCAGAGAGATAGAATTGCACCACGGAATATTTGTTGGTGTGAGTTGATTAGGACTTGGAATACAAATACTATATTTAGGAAAAAAAAAAAAGAAGTTATCCGTTCCAAACCATTCATCAATGACCTTGTTGTTGTGTGCAATCCAATAACCGGTGAGTTTATACACCTTCCTGAAGTTTTTAAGCTTTGAGTATCTCTAGTGAAGAGTTGTTTCATAAATACGCATCAACTTGAAATTCTTTTTTATATGGATAATCATGTGTGCTTGGATGCTGTCTGGAACAAATATGAATTTATGTAGGATACATGTTCTTTTTCATGTTAATGATATTTATGCAGTAGTGAAGCAATTGATAGTGCTTTGCTATTGTGGTTTCAGAACTAAGTATGCAGAGTTTCAGGCTGGATGGTCATTGTTGATATCTATCATTCAAGTCGCAATTAGGGAAAGGGTAATTCATTGGGAGGGATTACTTCTCTGCATCTTCCGATGCAGAAACACTTTAGTTGACACTTCAATTCTCATCCTAAGCTTTCTTGCTTGGTAGAACTGTATATATGATGGGGACATTTTATTAAAATCTCTCATGTATAATGATGGTGGCAAATTTCAGATATTTTAGTTGACTAATGATGCATATTGTTTGAGACTGTCTGAATGCACAGGCAGTAACTTGTTAATGCATTAAAAAGGATTGAATAGAAGTTACTGTTTTATTGGTGCCTAAAGTAACAAGAAATAATCTGTTCTGAATTCAAATGTTAAAACTGTTTCTTTTGTTTTGCCTTTTGAATTTTAGTTTGATGTTTTACATCGCTAAATCCTTACAAATTAAATTCTTTGATGGAAAGTTTGACCAACTGCTTCTAGTTTACTAGGCTTATATAAATTCCAGACATATGCAAATGAATCGGGCGTTAGGTTTCTCTCTCTCTCTGTGTGTCTCTCTCTCTCTGTGTCTATGCAAGTTGAAGAAAGGCTGCATTTGTGCAGGTAATTCTCTCACTTCCAAGTTCTCTTTCACTATGCTATACTGTTAGACTTTATCTCTGTATCTATCTTCGTAATTGTTGCTTTAGCTTTTGGGTTTGGTAAACTGAAATTCTATTTTTTTTTCTTTGGGGGTCATATATTATATCGCTGTTTGTATCAAAGAAATATGCATTTAAAAAAAATCATGTGCTTCTTTCAGATGTTTTTGCTGATTCCTGTGTTTGATATGCTGGTTTCAAATAATGCCTGCAGCTGAAACTGAGATATGTGGTCTGCTTTTTGATCTTTAAACAAATTGCACGTCTTGGTTTATTTATATCAACTTCTTTTGATTTCCATGTTAAAATGCAATTTTTCATGTTTTGTACAATTGGGTTTCTATATCATTTGTGACATGTACAAATTGTGGGTCATGATCATTTATGGAACCTCTTTTTATTTTTCAGTTTTAAACTAATAAAAAAACAATGAGAATGAAAATACCAGATGAGGAATAATAACATTTTGAGTAACAGTGAACAAGGTGAGTTGAGAAATGGAATTGGTAACAGGCTTTTTGAAGTTTGTTTTGATCTGGCATAGTATGTTTCTGAGAGTAGGGAATTCGATCAAACCGACAACATCTTAAATTTAGATTTTCACATGGTTTTTGTGGTCAAGACTCAAGAGAAGCACAGTTATGAATTTATTGTGAGGTTGCCTTTCAAGGATCACCCTGTGTCTTTGCTTGTGTTTCTGAGGATGTAACTGTGGAATTGATGGCTGATTCCTGTCATGTTCGATTTTTAACGAACAAGTCGTCATTTTGTAACTGTAATCTTGAATACTTTACGGATCCTCCCCTTAACCTGAATGAAATGCAAATATGTAATTTGCAGAAAAAAAGTTTTTTTCTATACTGAAACGGGAAGGTTTCATACATCACATCCCCTACAATTTAGGCTCATCCCCTTGATTATGTGGTCAATGGAGCTGCTGCAACCACATGATTTTGAAAATTTTTGTTCTATGTTTTTTTTTTTGGTAGAAGTAGTTTGCAGGCATAATTTGTTGTTCCATGATCTGTTTCTTATTTGTATACTAGTTCTTTTATCATATTTTCACTGCTACAGGGGACTAATTCTAGGCCTTTGTCCAAAAGGGTGTTGAGATAAAGAGAAGATTGAGAGAAGAGTGAATTGGTTGAATTGTACTTCGAACGGTCTACATAATTTTTTTTGCACTGTTGTCTGTCTGGATTCAGGAATCTCTCTATTAGACACACACTTGCACAAAGACAAAGTTGATGCTTCTGATCGTGTATTAGGCTTCATATTCATTAGTTTATAATGAGAACAAGAATCGGTTCAGAGAGATAGAACTGCAATATTTCTTGATTGGACTTTATTAGGACTCGGAGTACAAATAAAGAGTCAACTACTATACTTAGGAACAGAAAAAAATTGACGGTAGGCCTTCAATTGTCGATTTTTAAACAATTGGAGTTCTTAATTTACCGAAACAATTGTTAAGCGGCTAAATTGACAATATGCAAATAATTCATGGGGCAAAATCGCAGAAACCCAAAAGAAAATGCTTTTGTATAGATAGATAAAAACTTTTAAAGCTGCAATTGGTAAAGATATCGTTTGGACTAATTATTAGGCTCAAATTGCAAGTCCATTGGGCTAAAAGAAAAGGTCACCGTCTTCTTCTCTTTTCCCGCCCAGCACGAACCTCAAATTATAAATCAGGCGTTAGGTTTCTCTCTCTCTCTCTCTCTCTCTCTCTCTCTCTCTCTCTCTCCGCTGGATGCCGGATTGTGAGTTTATGATGTCCTAGTGTAAAAGTGTCGAAATGTTTTTAAGAAGAAAATAACACTAAAATATATAAAGATAGTATTTCCATTCATAATTCATGGCAAAACTAACAATACAAGCTACAATTGTCCACGACGAATTTTCATATTTTAAAAACGTTGCATTATAGCTTCGTTAACAATACAAACAAAAACATAACTCTCAATGCAAATAACCAAGCTATCATTCAACCATTGATCTTCCATTCTGTTGCGAAGTAGATTTTAAATAATATTCATAACAGAAAATGACCTCTCCACTGAAGCAGTTATAATTGGTAAAACCAAAGCCAATTTAATAAGCAAAAACACATTTTTTCACCATTTTTTCATGCATCTCTTTCTCCACCATTTTTTTTGCAAGCATGTTAATCCCTTGTAATTCAGAAAAATCACTCAAATGCATATGATGAACATAAACCCCAAGCATTACTAAAGCTCTATTCGAAAAATCTTTCAATGTGTGCTTTTTTATTCATCAGATTGTAAGCAGCTTCTCTAGCTTGGTTGTGAACACTGCTAACCGGTCCAACATGAATGTTAAACCTTTCTCTCCCCTTCTTCCAGTTATTGAAGCCTATCCCAGTGAATGTGTCACCACCCACTTGATCAAAATTAGTTTTAAAGAAATAGCAATGGAGGCAAAATGCAGCATCTTTAACTATACTATACTCCAACCAATCAAACTTATCAAACCATTGGGCAATAAACCGTCTATTAATTTCTGACTGATTAGTTTGTGGGAATCTATAACCTTTAGGTTGACAAGATCATTTTTGAAGATATGCTCTACGGATCTCATCTCGATGATTAGGACTATAATCCGTCATTTGAGTTCTTAGTCCAAGGTCTGCCTGAAGATTAGCCAATATTTCATCTAATTCAATAGGTCTTGCTCTTGCACTTGAACTACCCGGATTAGACTCACCATCCATAGGCACTTTTCTCTTAAAGTATCGTTCCATGATAATTTTTGTCTACACATAAATTAATTTAATGAATCAATTATAAAGAATACTCTAATATAATCCAAATAATAATATCAATCAATGTAAACTCTAATACAATTATCCAAATAACAAAATCATTCAATATCAAAATATCAAAAAATTCTAATTCATAAAGAAAATCAATCTATTAATATAAATTCTAATATAAATAGGAAAATCAATCAATTTCACCACACCAATAAATTATAATTAATGAAAGATATATCAATTTCATTAAAATTATCCAAAGCCCAAAATAATATATGTAAAATTATCACTCACTTGAGAAGCGATGGCAGCGGCGGCAAGAAGTCGTCGGCGACTGCGGCGGCTTGTATTGGTTGGTGGTGGTGTGGTGGAGGTTGGCGACTAGTTAGGGTTTTGAGAGAAGAGGGAATTTTGAAAAAAAATTGGGTCTTTTGGCAATGAAGGGCTGCTGGAATCGGAGGGGAGGGGGGGAAGATAAGCCGCTGTTGGCGATTTTTATTTTTTAAACCTGGCTTCAAAACGACGTCGTAAGCCAGGTTTAAAAAAAATAAATAAACGCGGTTTAAAAAAAAATATAGCTAGCGCGGGCGCTGCGCGCAGGCTACTTCGTCCTCTGCTGGGCATTTCGTCGAGCACTTGGTGTGCGAGGTGTGCGACCCAGCGCGCCATAGGGTCGCACCGGAGCTTCACCACTACTTTTCCCGGATGCCATAAGGTCGCCTGACCCCATTTGTCACTCTGTGCGTCCGCCCTTGTCACTCTGCAAGTTGAAGTAGGGCTGCAGTTCTGCAGGTAATTCTCTCACTCACTTCCAAGTCCTCTTTTGCTGTTTTATGATGTTAAACTTTATCTCTGTATCTATCTCCGCAATTTTAATTTAGTTCTTCGTTTTGATCATTTGGTACACTGAAATTCTCATTTTTCGTTGGGTCATATATTTTATCGCTCTGCATATCATTGTTTCTTTAGCAGTAATTATTCTTAAGAAGAAATTAAAGTCATAGGCTTCTATCATCAGTCCGATTTAAATAGTAAGATGTAGGATTCTGAAACAATATGATTTCAGGGTTCTATAAATACCGATGGTTTCCTTTTCATCCATTCATTTTTTGTCCATTTCTCAGACCCAGAGAATTGCAATGAACAGGAAAAGAAAGCCAGCAGATAATGTGATAGAAATAGGCAACAAAGAGGAACAGATTCAAGTAATGAGTTCTTGTATATTTGATCTTCCAAAGTCTATTCTTTACATTGTTCTACTAAAGATACCAACTAGGAGCATTCTCATTTGCAAATGTTTATGCAAGACTTGGCAAGATCTAATTTCAGACCATGAATTTACTAAGCGGCACTTTGCACAAGCAGAGTCCTACCCTTTGGTCCGGCCCTCTAATCCAACTTGTGTGTCAAGAACCCTTTATCTGGTCGAGCCTGAAGATAGCTCTGATTTTGATTTCGAGCACAGCAACTGTACGTGTTATGATGCCTCTGACTTTCTTTTTAATGAGTGCAATGGGCATCAGTTCCACTTGAATCTTGCCAAATATAAAATCCCATTGCGCAATGCTGAGGAGGTACTCAATACCCACAATGATGCCAATAGGAAACCTGGAACTAAAAAGAAGCTTTGCATCAAGGTCTGTTGAGCAGGTCACAAGTATGAGGTGGTGAATTCGTGTGACGGATTGCTTTGCTTGTCTAAACCATTCATCAATGACCCTGTTGTTGTGTGCAACCCAATAACCGGTGAGTTTATACACCTTCCTCAAGTTTTTAAGCTTGAGTATGTAAAGGGATCTATTGATTGCGGATTTGGTTTCAGTCCGAAGACTAACCAGTACAAGGTGATAAGAATCTCCGAGCAAGGATCACTGGATCCCTTTAGGGTAGCCAAGGTATACACACTTGGGAAAGGCTCATGGGAATGTTTAGGTTTTGCTCCCTTCTTCAAAAATAAAGTAGAATTCACCACCTATCTGAAAGGAGCGCTTTATTGGTTTTGCCGTTGGCTTTCATTGCCTTATATAGATTCTTTTGACTTGGACACTGGGAGTTTTCAGTCAGTTCAGCCACCTTCTTTTGAACTGCAAAGGGAGCATCGGGTTAGCATGGGAGTTTTAGGTGACTGTCTTTGTGTATGTGAAGTTGCTTTTATGTATCCTATGAATGTGTGGGTACTGAAAGATTGTGGTGAAGAAAAATCTTGGACGAAAATGTTTTCTATTGATCCAGGTTGTCATGAGGAGTGGCCTTATGGCTTATATCAACCGATGAAAAGCTTTGAAAATGGACTTTCACCCAGAAAACTACAGATTCAAATACCTGAAGCTTCGCTGGTTTCAGTCAAATTTTGAAGCAATTAATCATGTTCCAAGCTTCATTTCACTCAAGGAAATTTTGAAGGGAAGCAACATAGAAGTACTGAATATAAATTCAAGGTAAGGATGTGACAGCAGTCTAACTTTTCTTTGTACCATTCAAGCTTCAGTAGATTTTTCTGGTCTTGGTTTTTTGAGCATCGATCACACCACAAGAAACTTCATAGAATGATTTTGAGAGTTGTTCCGTCCTAGTCCGTAGTTATCTCTAGTGAAGAGTTATTTCATAAATGTGCATCAACCTCAAAAGAACTTTTATATGGATAATCATGTATGGTTGGATTCTGTGTAGCACAAATGTGAATTTTAGTAGTTTTAGTTGCTTTCACTTTCTAGATATAATAATTTTTATAGGATACATGATCCTTTTCATGTTAATGATATTTATGCAGCAGTGTAGCAATTGATAGTGCTTTGCTATTGTGGTTTAAGAATGAAGTATGGCAGAGTTCTGGGTTGGATAGTTATTGTTGATATTTTCCATTTCAAGTGGCGATTACTTGCCTGCATCTTTCGATGCAGAAACAATTTAGTTAATTTTTTAACTGCCATCATAAGCCGTCGTGCTTATGTAAAACTGGTGCCACCTCCATTCTATCGGGGAAATTTTATTAAAATCTTTAAAATGAAAATGATAATTGAAATATTTTATTTCGATATTTTATTCAGTTAATGATGTATATTGTTTGATACATTCTGAATGAACAGGCACTAACTTGTTAATGCACTAAATAGGACTAACCATGGTTACTACATTGATACGAATAGAAGTTACTTATGTTGCATTAGTGCCTAAAATAAAAAGAAACACTCTTCTTTGAATTTAAATGCTAAACCTTTTCTTTTGTTTCATGTTTTGGGTCTGCAATTGATGTTTCACATTGTCAAAAGCTAACAAATTCACTTTGTCTGACATGATGAATATGATGATGGAGGTTCATACAAAATACACATATATAAATGCCTGATCTTTTTCATGTTAATGATATATATGCATTAGTGAAGCAACTGTAATGCCTTGTTATTGTTCTTTAAGACTAGGGCAGAGTTTTGGTTGGATGGTGTTGTTTATCTTTTGAATTCCAAGTGGTGATTATGGAATGGAAATTTCACAGGAAGGATGACTTCTTTGGAACTTCCAATACAGAAACAATTTAGTCGACACTTCAACTCTCATCATAACCCTTCTTGCTTGTGTAAATGTGGTGCGTGGAATTGGGGAGGTTTGATTTAAATCTCTCATATATAAATGATGGTACAAAATTTCAGAATAATGAAGCATATTGTTTTGAGACTTTCTGAATAGAAGTTACTTATTGGTGCCCAAAGTAACAAGAAATACTCTGCTCTGAAATCAAATGTTAAACTGTTTTTTTTGTTTTGTCTTTTTGGATTTTAGCTCTGAATTCGAAAAAAAATAGGGTGCGATGACAAAAGACTAAACTCTCTTCAGTCATGGCACTCTATTTTTTTATTTTTTTATTTTTTATTTCTAATAATTTAAATTGTGTGGAACAACTGATATATGTTGAAAGCCTTTACCTTAAACATCACAATTGTTAATACAGGTGTGCAGAATACAAGCCGCTGGGAGAGACTAGAGCTCTGTCTTTGGAGGAAGAACAAATTCTCAGTTGCTTTCCGAAGGAAGTGAAGAAGGAAATAACCTCAGAGGTGGTGTCAATGTCGTATAGAAAGCAATGTGAACTCGAAGAGGCTTGTAGAGTCAAAAAACCATTTTGTTAATGGCTTGTAAGTACCCTTACCTACTCTCTTTTTTCTCTTCTCATCCACTTTAAACCATCATTCCTTCTCCTCTCCAACTGTCACTCGTCATCAAAGTTAGCTTGTGAGAAAGTGTTCGGAAGTGAATTTATCTTTCTGGATATTTGTTCTACGTTTTCCCATCTATAGTGATTTAGATTGCTTGCCCTAGTTTTCAGTCTTTACATATGTCATTGAGGGCTGTATAGACAATATGATCTTACCACTGTATTTTCAAAAATTTCACATTTAAGAGATTAAATAAGAAACAAAAGAGTAGGTCATATCTTTGAAGGCAATTAAAAGGCCATATCATCTAACCACTCTATTTTCTAGTTAGACTCCATATAGAATGCGACGCAGTACTTATCATAGTGATAAAGACCACTAAGTGAGATGCTGCAATGACAGAATGTGTTGCACTTTTCTGCCCTGAATTTTATGAAACCATAAGCATCACTGTTTGTTTCTTTGCTGGTTTGTTTGACTCTGTCAAATAAAAGAATTATTCTGAAATCTAATAAAAGACTGCTAACAATTTGAAATATCTTTCTGTAAATCTCAAGCCTCTGTGATTACAGTTTGGAAACATCATGTAACTGCTGAGGGCATTTTAGTTTATTGGTTTATTATTTTTTTTGGTGTTTCACTTTTTCTTTAATTTACACCCAGATTTTTGTTATAACACACACACACACAAAAGGGTTAACTATATAAAACCCCATAAATTATTAGATATTTTTGAAGTTCACACTTTTGGTTAGACATTTACAAACTCATACATAAAAATATTACATTTACGAAGCTTGTCGGGGCATGTGTTTTTGCCTACGTGGCACGGACATGTGTTTGCCTATGATGTGGACAAAACAATTAGAGGGCCGCATGTTGGCCCGGCACGACTAGTCAACCAATATACCCGAAATGAGCCCCAAATCAACAACATTGGATCCATAGTACCTTGTTTGCAAATTTGAGAATGGAAATGGACGCACCCGGGGTTCAATGTGGAAATAAATGGTTTTTTTTTTTTATGACTTCATGGACTGAAGATAACTTGGGAGAAGATTTTGGGGGCTGTGCATAAGTGTATCGAGCTCTTTTGTTTACCAAAGTTTACCTGTGTTTTTTTTCTTTCTTATTTTAGTTTTCACATTCTTTGACTGGTATGATCCAAAGATATGTGAACCCTCCGAGAGTTTGATACTTGAACTTTTGAAAAGATTGAGGAAGGAGGAAGATGAAAACAGAAGACTAAACATGGAGGTTAGAGCTTCTTCGAAAGGAAAGTGGAGTTCCCAAGCTTGCCTAGTGATTCATTGGATG